CCCCGTTCAAGTATCTCCTGCACAGGAAGCCTTTTCTGACCCTCCTTTTTAAAATGCCCCTTCCCAGCTTTATTTTTCTCCGTAGCATCGACGACCGTGATGGCCGATGCTTTTCACTGCTTCATTTGTTTCTGTTTGTCTGCCCACACTTCAATGCTCGCTTTATGATTTTTGTCTCTACCGCCCGTATTCAGAACAGTGCCTTAGCTCACAATAAATATTTGTTGAATGAGTGAATGAATAGTTGAATATATCACTGCACCTCAGTTGGTTCACTATTAAAGTGGGATAAACAACATCTGTGAAATACAGATGTCAGTGGAAAACCCAGAATCTCAATGCACCAGTCTGTCTCCGGAGTCCTCTAATTACTGAACTGCTCCTGCACAAGACATCAACCAGGGACTGTTGAGGCGGCAAAGATGAACCAGACCAACTCCTGGCTTCATACAGGAATGAGGGACACAAGGTACAGATATGATGCTATGGGGATTCAGAGATTATGTGCAGCTTGGGGCCTCCTTTGTACCCTTCCCCCTTCTCCCTTCCTGCCCATCCCAAAGCTCCACCCTGCACCAGACAGAGCAGGGACCATGATCCCTGTCACAACTGTTCTGTATGCCCCACTGTCTCCTCTCCAATGACCTGCTCTTACATAAGTGCTAATGTCTCCTGATTTGGATGTATGGCTACCTCTCTCCCTCACTCTAGATTTTACCACAGATGTCTAGAAATGAAGCATCTTAAACCAGTGTGTAGGATTTTAGGCCCAGAGAACCTTTTTATGTTTATATATTTTAAATTTATCTTTATTGTTGAAAGTATTACAGATGTCCCCTTTTTCCCCGCATTGATCCCCTCCACCCCGCATCCACCCCACCCTCAGGCCTCCCCCATACCACATGTCTGTGTCCATGGGTTATGCTTAGAAACATATAAGTTCTTTGAGTAATCACTCCCCACCCCCACTTTCCCTCTGAGGTCCCTCATTCTGTTCCATGCTTCTATATCTCTGGATCTGTTTTGTCAGAGAACCTTTTTTATATCCTCTTGAATTGGTTCTTAGAAGGTAGCTGCTACTGTGTCTTCACCCTCTTGTCACCCAGGGCTGAGCAATGTTTCAGAGACTGGAAAGGATCTTCTCTAAGGCTGTCCTCAGTAACAGGAGAGAGCAGGACAGGTGGAAAGAAACTGGTTGACTTTAAAGATGTTGTTTTCTCTGGTTTTTTTAAAAAAAGGAAATGCATACTGTACACATGAGAGACTCCAGGCTGAGAGATGCTGTGGCAGTTGAGGTGCACCTGGGAGCTCCTAACTGTTCCCTGCCTCTGCCTCAGGGGGCGGGACAGCAGCAGAGCGCCCCCCCCCCCC